ATGTTTTCAATCTTGGGTTTACCACCTGCCGGATTCCAGGAGCTGCATTTTAGTGACCTGCTTTTGTTTTTAAAAGGCTGGAGGAAGAATTAATTTGGTTCAGAGAGGGAAAAAAAAGATTTTGGGGGGATATTTGAAAGCATCTGAATGGAAGAGGCATTTCTCTGTCATCATCTCCCTTAATAAGACAATCCTTTCAAATCAGTAGGTATAATGACTTTATAGGAGCCCAAGAGGCTCCAGTCTAGATTTGAGGTATCTTGTGGGAAGCCCTGAGCAGCCACATCATCAGAAGAGCATCCTCGTGTAAAAGAATTTACCATCAATGTTGTAACATGAGGTGAGAGACCAGGTGGATACAAGGGACAGAAAACACGTGGCAGCACCGGGTCTGTTCTCAACTGTGGAATAAGCAGGGATCAGTGACAATGAAGAGGTCCACGGTGTTGGTATCACTAGGTGTGTCTACACATGCAATTAATGCTATTAAGCTTTACTGTGCAGTAGATGAATTTACTGTGCAGTAAGCGCCTGTACGTGTAGGCAGTGATGCTTTACTGCAAAGTTGGTTAGTCTACCGCGCAGTAAAGCATCTCGTGTAGACACCGCCACTGTGAGGTATCATTGTGTTGATACAGGAGGAGCTTGAAATCTTTGCCAGATTTGGATTTTTTCAGCAAGAATACAACAGAAATTGGTTTTGCACAACTATGGTTCCTTTCCTTTGACTGGCTCCAGCGTGCAGGAACGTAAATGTATACAAGTTACACTTCAGAAGTGGCTCCAAGCTGTTTGGGCCAGGGAATGCCTCTTACTTTGTCCCCTACAACATCTATGACAAAGGAGTTCAAACTGCCAGGCTTGTTGGCCCTGCTGCAACATTTGAGATGCCTCCTTCTTCGGTGACTATTTCTAAAATATTTTCAGAGACTTTTTTTTCTAAATACCTGTGCGGGGCTGAGCAATGCTTAGACGGAGGTGTCAGTTGAAAGCAGCCATAGGGCATCTGCACCCCAGTGAAATGAATGTGAGATAGTGGTAGAGGACTGTTCTTGGTCTCAAGAGTCCACACGTTATTTGATGGTGCCATTGAGTTACTGAGCTGTGTTTCTATAGCCAGTTTGTGTCAAGCCTATTGTAGGCCTGAACCCTGGGTAGGCATTACCTCAGGTAAAAAAAAAAAAAATGAATGTACTGATAGTCTGATAATTTTGGGGGTCTGAACTAATGCATCAACCAGCTAAATATTTAGACTGTGTTACTTGATAGACATATTTCAAGGTGGGGGGGAGGGGAGAATATTTGCATAAGCTTACAAAGTTTCACAAGATAAATGAACCAGTCAGTTTTGAAAGGCTTGAGTTTAAATATGCATATTTCTGTATATTTTTATAACATAAAAAGTCCTGCATTAAATGATAAATTGGAGTGTTGCACAAATGTTCTCTAGAAATCAGTGAGAATGAAAAGGGATTTACACAAAGCTACATTCAAGTCCCATACAACTGAATTGAGGAAATAATCTTTCTGAACTGTGCTATAATAGAGAATTAGGACTCCGCTACAGAAATCTAAAGGTTTTAGGATGGTTCAAATAGCCTAGAGGAAGATGGTGATTCTGTAAGGACTAACCGACAAAAGACAGTTGTTGTCTGAATCCTTGCTTTCCAGGGGAGTTTATTTTGTACCTTCTTTCATTCTAATGCTGGTAAAGGATGAGTTTTAATTGCATCAGGATGCCATTTGGTGCTAGAAATGCATAACCCAGGGGAACCATGTATCATCATTTTATTAGCTCAGCCAAAGAACTTCATTTTTTTTGGAATTATGCAATAAAGCTGTCTGCAGAAACCCTGCCTTTCTTCTCCCACAATGGGTGATAATCCCACCCTATCCATTCATAGGCTGTTGTCTAAGCATGTGAAACTGGAAACCCTGAAAAAGCAGAAATGTAGCTGTAATTGGAATTAATCTATTTTTAGTGTATCAGGAAGCCGTCTGGTGCCCTGTCCGTGCGCCAGTTGAGATGCTGCTTAAATCTGTCTACCATGACCTGCTGTGTCTGCAGTGGCATCAAGGAGTCCGGCATTTTTCCTTCTCTATAAAGTATGGGTTCATTCAATAATTGTTTTTTAATTATTTCTTCCATCTTCCCCAATAAGACGGGCATCCCAACTCCTATGGGAATACACAGGGATAGACGGGCTTAAAGCTTGCCTAGACCAGGTTAGCTGTTATCCGATGATGAGCTGATGATTTCGCTTGGGTTTGTTGCATATTCCACGCTTCCTAAAACTGAGCCCAGAAGAGTTTTAGTACTCGAAGGGTCAGCTTTATTGTGTTACCTGATATTAAAGATGCCAAAATTTGCCACACCCATGAATACAAAAGGCTAGAAGCATGTCACACTCTGAAACATAAGAGATGGCTGTATGTTACAGCGATAAGCCACCTGTTGATTACCTTGTTGGCCCTCGAGCCTCAGCACCAAACACGCTCCAGTGCTGTAGGCCGCCTCGTGTGTAGGGGCTGTATCTTTCCCCCTTATTTATTTCAGTGACTCATGATGCTGCAAAGCACCGAGCGCAGAGAACGGCTATTTCCATGCTTCCGCCGCAATCCCTGCTACCTCCGACTGTGCTGTCAGGGCACCTCAGCTGTGCGGCGTACCCCCACTGGCTCTATTCTTAGCAGCTAATAGCTGAAATAATTACGGTCGCTTAAGCACCGTTGGCTCCTTAGGTTTGGAAGTTAACAAACCCTCCTGCTCGTGGAGGTGGGCTGCTTCCTTTCGCTTTCCCCCCCGGCGTGGCAGGTGGTTCTGGGTGTTGTACTGCCACACGTGCCAATGTCTGAACGAGGCTCCTTTTTCTAACACCATTGCTATGAAACCTGCAAGACGCGGGGTGGAATCAGCCAGCGTAGCCGAGCGCTGCTGGACGGGCTTCCAGCCCGGGCGGTGTGTGGTTCCCTTTCGGCCTGCATGTGACTGTCGCCGTCTGGCTGGGTAGGAGACATGGATCGCTGCCTGCAGCTGGGTGTTGCTCAGGCTTGCTGGGATACATCGTAGGACGGCTTTTTCTCCAAGCTAGGGCCACGGTTTCACCTCCGGGCTCCTTTGAGGTCCTGCTTTTCTTTTTGTGCAGTGAACCGAGATTGCATACATGGGTGTGCGGGCACTTTGTGTGCCTGCAGCTGCCCAGCAGGCATGGGCTCGTGCCATCGGTTTGGTTATCAGTGAGAAGTGCCCTCCCAACCACCAAGTGTAAAGTTTCTATAGCCTCTTCACCTGGGAGCCCCAGCCAGTCTCTGCGAAGCAGAGGAATTCGATCTGCATGCTTTTGCAGTGTACCTGTGGGAGCGGCGCATGGGAGCGGTCAGTTCTGTGGTTGCGGTTGGTTGTGCACGTACAAGTAGGTGCACAGACTCAAGGCCTTCAATAGTTTTAGCAAGTTTCAGCCTTTCTGAATGTTTGCGTATGCATCTGCTCTTCCTGGTGCTAGCCGGGGCCAGGAGCAAAGGCAAGAAGAATGCTGCGCACACAGCAGAGAAGAATGTATGTGCCTTGGGGTGGACATGGCAGAGGAGTGAGTGTTGCTTATGCTTTTGCCCTACCCAAATCCAGGAGGATCTGGAAGACTTACAGAAGCCAGGCTCCCCGTCATGTCTTGATCAAGCTAGTTTGGTAAGATGAACTTGCCATGGTTAATCCAGACCCAACTCTGATGAGCTACAGGTAACTTTTTTCCCTTAGGAAAGATTAAGCTACCCCCTGGAATGAAACACAACACGATGTTGACCACTTAAAACGTTTCCTTATAGGCTCCATTATGTGCACAAATTAACGTTGACTTGTATCTTGGAATAGGATGTTTCCAGCTTCCTGGTCATCCCTGTGTTTCTGTGGTCGTTGATACAGCATCCTAAAACTGTGAGCCTGCGTGCGTGCATGTGTGTGTGTGCATGTACACATGTGCATGTGGTATGTGTGATAAAATCTAAAAAAGATTTGAAAAGTTAGGTTCCTACTTAAGTTTTTAAAAAAAACCCTTTAAATAATTTCCTTTCGATTTCCTTTAAAAGCCACAATGTTCTGGCAGCATCTGTTTCAAGTGAACAAAACTCGTTTTCTTTTCGCTGACTGAGGGTTTGGTGCACGTTAAGGACTGTAACGAAGCAGCAAGTGCCGCTTGAGTGCAAGTCTGGGGGTCAGGAATGCCCGTATTTGAATCCTGGTTCTGGTACTGACTTGTCCTGAGGTCTAGCATGCATTTCGTTGCTCCTCTCTCAGTTCCCCCATCCGAAAAACTGAGTTAATGCCGTCCTCAGAAGCTGCCCCTTCAAGGCTTGCTAGTTGCTTTAGAATTGCTAACTCATGTTGCCTCTGTACTTGTAATTGGCATAAGGAATACTGCACAAACCATCATGCTGGAGGGAGACCAAGCTCTTCGCAAGGGTTTTAAAAATTGAACGTTTATGTGGATAATGAGAACATTCCAATTTTTACAAATTTACAGAAATCAGGGTAATCCATCATTGCCCACTGTAGCCTTCCTTACGTGGACCTGGCTGAGAACTTTGCTTCCAAACATATTTTGGTTGGAAAATTGCAAAATTGCTGGTGACAAAGCGTTGGCTTTCATGAGATTTCTGTTGTGCAAACATTTGGAGAGAAGTTGTTCCCAAATGTTTTGTTTCAAAATCTTCAAAAGGTACACTTCCAGTTTTCCAGTCAAAATGATTTTTATTTTGAAAAACCGTAACTTTGTATTTACAAACGTTATAAAAAACCCCATAAACACTCAAATGAAGCTTTTCAAAATTCTTGTAACAGTATTTTATTTGCCCTGAATTTGGATTGTTTTAGCTAGCTGATTAAAATTTTTGTGATTTTTTTTTTTTTTTTTTTTTTTTTTCTGT